AAACCAGACTCCTGTAACCGCCGTTTCGTTCGAGACTTCTTTTCCAATAAGGACCATAGACGAGTCCCACAGGGGGGACGGGGAGAGGCAGAAAACCAGACTCCTGGAATCGCCGTTTCTCCTCAGACGTCCTTGCAGTCTAGGACCACAGAAGCCGCTTCGCATGAGATATCATTGCATTTTAGGGTTTCACGGGGGGACGGGGAGAGGTAATTAGGAGACCGGACTTCGGAATGGCCGATTCGCTTCACATTTATTCCTTCACAATGCAGGACCACAGATGCCGATTCGCTATAGACTTCCTCGCAAACTTAGAATCACAGAAGCTGTTTAGCTTTAGATTTCCTCACGATTGATGACCACATAGGCTGTTTCGCTTGAGACTCCCTCTCAATTCATAGCCGCATAAGCCGTTTCGCCTGAGGCTTTTGACAGTTCATGGTCACAGAAGTCGTTTTGCTTGAGAGACGTTTGCAATTCATGACCACAGAGGCCGGTTCGCTTGAGACTTCTTCAGAGTTCTGCAGCGAAGAAACCCCGTTTCGTGTGAGATTTTTCATTTTTCATGATTATTAAAGACCGCAGGAGCTATGCCATGTCGTGCCGCGCATGAACCACCGTCCTATTTGAGTCAGAATCACCATCATCATCACCATCGCCATCTCATCATCATCATCATGATCGTGATCAGCGCCTCTGCTGTTACCAGGGTGCATTGCTTCTGTAGTTTTTCCCAGCCATCCTGTGGTGTTGAGTCCTCGTTTTGAAGAGACAGCGCCCCGCGTTCCATCCTCCTTTCTCCTCCCCCTTCCCTCCTCCTATCGTCATCAGCATCTTCATCATCCTTATCCTCATCCTCATCCTCATCATCAGCAGCATCAGCATCAGCACCAGCATCATCATCATCATCATCATCACCATCTCCATCATCATCGTCATCATCGTCGTCATCATCATCATTATCATCATGATCATCGTCATCACCACCACCACCATCATCATCATCATCGTTACCATCGTCATTATCATCATCAGCATCAGCATCAGCATCAGCATCAGCATCAGCATCAGCATCAACATCATCATCCTCATCATCATCTCATCTCATCATCATCATCATCATCATCATCGTTATCGCCATCGTCATCGTCATCGTCATCGCCATCGTCATCGTCATCATCATCATCATCATCATCAGCATCATCAACATCACCATCATCATCAGTACCATCATCACAACCGTCATAGTCTCAATCATTAACATGCTCGCCACCCATGTCGGCACACCCCTGACCTTGTTCGTGGCCCCATAGGGACCTCCATCGAAGGCCCCAGTGGCAGGTTTCGCATGGCGGCCCCGCCCATTTCGGGACACGCCCCACGCGCTTCGTGGCCCGATAGGGAGCTCCACCGAAGGCCCGAGTGGCAGGGTTCGCATGGCGGCCCCTCGTTGCCCCATAGGGAGCTCCACCGAAGGCCCCAGTGACAGGGTTCGCATGGCGGCCCCGCCTCATTTCGGCACACCGCTCACACGGTTCGTGGCCCCATAGGGAGCTCCACCGAAGGCCACATTTCCCGGGTTCGCATGGCGGCCCCGCCCCATTTCGACACATCTTTCACACGTTTCGTGCCTCATAGGGAGTTCCGCCGAAGGCGCAGTGGCAGGGCTCGCAGGGCGTTCCCGCTCCATTTCGGCACACCGCTCACACGTTTCGTGGCCCCATAGGGAGCTCTTCCGAAGGCGCAGTGGCAGGGTTCGCATGGCGGCCCCTCCCATTTCGGCACACCCCTCACACGTTTCGTGGCCCCATAGCGAGCTCCACCGAAGGCCCCAGTGGCAGGGTTCGAATGGCGCCCCCCCCCCCATTTCGGCACACCCCTCACACGTTTCGGGGCCCCATGAGGAGCTCCACCGAAGACTCCAGCGGCAGGGTTCGCATGGCGGCCCCTCCCATTTCGGGACATCGCTCACACGTTTCTTTGCCCCAGAAGGAGCTCCACCGAAGGCTCCAGCGGCAGGGTTCGCATGGCGGCCCCGCCTCATTTCGGCACACCCCTCAGACGGTTCGTGGCCCCATAGGGAGCTCCACCGAAGGCCACAGTTCCTGGGCTAGCAGTGCGTTCCCGCTCCATTTCGGCACACCCGTTACACGTTTCGTGGCTTCATGATAGCGAGCTCCACCGAAGGCCCCAGTGGCAGGGTTCGCATGGCGGCCCCGCCCCATGTCGGCACACCCGTCACAGGTTTCGTGGCCCCATAGGGAGCTCCACCGAAGGCGCAGTGGCAGGGTTCGCAAGGCGTTCCCGCTCCATTTCGGCACACCCCTCATACGTTTCGTGGTCCCATAGGGAGCTCCACCAAAGGCCCCAGTGGCAGGGTTCGCAAGGCGCTCCCGCCCCGTGTCGGCACACCCCTCACACGTTTCGTGGCCCCACAGGGAGCTGCACCGAACGCTGCATTCATAATGCGGTACCCACAATTGCAGATGGTTGGGCCCTTCGCCAGGGTAATTGTCCTTTCTTCTCTCCTTCTCTGCACAGCGTGCTTTCCAACACGTCAAAGAATGGCTCTCCTGATTCCGAGACGCCTGTGCTGGGGTTGTATTCATCTGCTGTAGTCAAGCCGTCAACGGAACAAGCGGCAAGGAAGCACGACGTTCGGCCCACTGATTATTTTCAGCGGGCCCGAGAAGGATGGCGAGGAGGATAAGGCTGATGATGATGACGATGCTGATGATGATGCTGCTGATGATGATGATGAAAATGCTGCTGATAGTAATGATGATGCTGCTGCTAATGATGCTGACGATGCTGCTGATGATGACTATGCTGCTGCTGATGATGATGCTGTTGACGATGCTGCTGCTGGTAATGATGATGATGCTGATGATGATGATGATGATGATGATGATGATGCTGATGCTGATGCTGATGCTGATGCTGATGCTGATGCTGATGTTGCTGATGATGCTGATGATGATGCAGCTGATGATGATAATGACGCTGCTGCTGCTGCTGAGGATGCTGCGGATGATGCTTATGATGATAGTGGTGAGGATGATGATGCTGATATTGATGATGATGATGATGATGATGATGATGATGATGATGATGATGATGATGATGATGATGATGATGAGGAGGAGGAGGAGGAGGAGGAGAGGAGGAGGATAGGAGGATCATCAGGAGAGAAGGAGGTGGAGGAGGGGAGGAGGAGAAGAAGGAGGAGGAGGATGATACTGAGGCGAATGAGTAGGAGGATGCGGGGGAGGAGGTGAAGGACGAGCCGGAGAAGGATGGGGAGGAGGAGGGTGAGGAGGAGGAGGTGGAGGGGGAGGTGGAGGAGGAAGAGGAGGAGGAGGATGAGGAGGAGGAGGAGGAGGAGGAGGAGGAGGAGGAGGAGGAGGAGGAGAAGGAGGACGAGGAGGAGGAGGGAGGAGGGAGGAGGAGGAGGAGAAGAAGGAGGAGGAGAAGGACAAGGAGGAGGAGGATGAGGTGGAGGAGGAACAGAGGATAAGGAGAGGAGGAAAAGGTGGAGGAGGATAAGGACGAGGAGGAGGAGAAGGAGGAGGAGGAGGAGGAGGACGAGGATGAGGCGGATGAGTAGGAGGATGAGGGGGAGGAGGTGGAGGACGAGCAGGAGAAGAAGAGAGAGGAGGAGGAGGAGGAGGAGGAGAAGGACGAGGAGGAGGAGGAGCAGGAGGAGGATGAGGATGATGCTGCTGCTGCAGATGATGATGATGATGATGATGATGATGATGATGATGATGATGATGATGATGATGATGATGATGATGATGATGATGATGATGATGATGATGATGATGATGATGATGCTCGCTGCTGCTGCTGCTGATGATGATGATGCTGATGATGATGATGATGATGATGATGAGGAGCAGTGCGCAGGAAGAGGAGATGGAGGAGCAGGAGGAGGATAAGGATTTTGATGCGGAACATGATGCTGTGGATGATGATGGTGATGATGATGATGATGATGATGATGATGGTGATACTGGTGATGCTGCCGCTGATCATGATGATGATCTGATGCCGAGGATGGGAATCTGGCTGATGCCGATGATTATGATGTGGATGATGACGATGATGCTGATGATTATGATGATGCTGATGCTGATGCTGATGACAGTGACAATGGTGCTGATGCTGCTGATGATGATGACGATGATGACGATGATGATGGTGATGATGATGATGATGGTGGTGATAATGATAATGATAATGATAATGATGATGATGATGATGATGATGATGATGATGATGATGATGATGATGATGATGATGATGATGATGATGATGATGGTGATGATGATGATGATGATGATGATGATGATGATGGTTCTGCTGCTGCTGATGATGATGATCATGCTGATGATGATGCTGATGATGATGAGGAGGAGGCGGCGGCGGAGGAGGAGGAGGTTGATGAGGAATTGACATGAGGAAGGAGCTCAAGGGCCACACGTGAAATCTGGGGGGTGATACTGATGATGACGCTGATGCTGCTGCTGATGCTGATGCTGCTGCTTACGACGGTGATGATGTTGATGCTGATCCAGATGCTGGTAAGGAGGTGAATGAGAAGGCGGGTATAGAAGAGGCGACATCTAATGTCGAGGCTAATGCGGATGAGGATGACGAGGAGGACGAGGCCAGGATGAGGAGAAGCAGCAACAACATTAGCTCGCCTTTTTCACCTCGCTTTGCTGTTTTTTAGTTGCTGTGTTTGTTTATGTGTGTTTTCATATGATGGCTACCCAAAGGTCTGCACCCCTTCACGGGATCCGCTTTCCCCCCTGATTTGTTTTTGGATGGCCCTACGGACCGTTGCGGACCAAAGCAGGCCAGAAATTGCTCAAACCTCCCGCCGTGTTTCTTTTCACGATGCTAACCAGGATCACGGGGAGCAGCATGAGGAGGAGGAGGAGGAGAAGGAGGAGGAGGAGGAGGACGTGTGAGCATCCTCGCTTCCCCCGGAGGACTACGCCGCGGCGGCTGAGCTCCGGGACAAGGAGGGCGAACTGCGGAACAGGCTGAAGGAG